AAAAACAAACCAACCTTCTAAGGTTTGCAGACGTCTGCAACAATCCTTAGTTTCTCATACACCAGACCACCACAGAGCATACAGAGCGTTGGAAAAAACCTGAGCCTGGGATCTTTTCTTTTTGCCCCGTTCATCGATTAGCATCTACGTTTGGGGGGGAGCGGTTTCCTCGATCCTGTTCGTCCAGCTGCCTTGCTAGCCTCAGGCCTTCTTAAAATTATCTATCTGCATTGGTCAGGGATTTTTTTTGGGGGGTGGCCTTATTTTGACCCTCTAGCCTTCAAATTTATCCACCTGTTTTGGCTGAGATAGGGTCAGTCCCGGGAAAATATCCTATACTGCCCCTGGCTTTCAGTACAACCGGGTATCTGCATGAATGCCGCTAATCACCAAACTCTAGGCTTCAAAGGTGTTAAATGCACATTCCAATGCTTTCAACGCGTCAGTGGCCTGGATGTTCGATCCAGCGAGGTGTGTTGCAAACATCGGCCGTGAGGTTCGCATCTCGCGACGGCTCGCGGCGGTGGTTTCACAGCACGTTCGTAGGATGGGCCGCCGCGGCGAGGGGTTTTTCACGCATTTGGCACTGTGGCTCTCTGAGCCAAGCACTGCGGTTAAATGGTGATGCCACGTGTCGGGCCCTGATTTCGAGGCCACCATAGCGGTGAAATGGAGACGTGACAACATGGCCCCTCGCAGATATGATAAATCTGATTTCTTTTTCTCAAGGCCTGCACAGAACCCTTTCCAAGCTCCACGATGTAGGTAAATATGCTTGAGGCGTTAGGTGTTTGGGGGGTCACATCCACCCGGATGTTTTGGAGTCACGCGACCGCAACCAATCTAGCCGGTCACTGTGTGTGTATATGTCGTGCCATGTGCACTGTGAGTTTTGCATTTTGGAGAGCTTTAATTTTGTGTCAAGAGGATTGTTTGATTGAAAGAGCTGTTTCCACTCAAGCAGCACCCAATTCAAGTCCAGTGACTATACATAGAGTCCAGTGATAGTTAGTGCAAAGTTTCAGGTCACCTCAGTTTCAAGACGGCATGATGGCAAGTCATCCATCATCCAATGCGCTCAGGCAAAGTGTGTTAGATCAGTCAAGGGCAAGTGCCTTCAATAGTGAGTGGTGGTTTCAGTGTGGCAATTGTATTTACATCGTGCATGTATAGTGCATGTACACTATATAATACATTATATCTATAAAAAGCCTCGGACAGTTTGTGACTTGATCATTGATCACCCCGATAGTTTGAGAAACCATATATATATATATAATATATATATATATATATAGTAATATTTGATCAGATGTAGCACCAGTTACATGTACATGACATAGCTTGTATAGATGTATGTTTCACTGCAGCCGTTTGTTCAATCCGTTTGTTCGAGTTTGAGCTAAAAGTGGGCCTAAGCTTCTACTACAACCTTTGGGACAGTGACTTGGGGTCACAGAGTTTAAGAGCCTAAATTCTCCGTTCATGGTAGCGGAGCCGCGGTTCTAAGACCCGGCTACCGTCTGCGAATCGAAGGTCGCCGAGCCGCATCGGCTCTGGCACCAGAGATCCACAAAACAAGCATCACTTGCAGGACAGCCGGATTGCTTCAATCCCTGGCTAGCAAGTTAACATGGCGCAACAGCCAGGAGCACAGGCACCACAGGCCACAGACATGGCACAACAATTTGCACAGATGATGCAAGCCCTAGCACAGGGGCAGAGCCAATTGCAACGAGCAATGGCAG